CACTTGACCACTTGCCTCTGCTTAAACGTGGGCAACTTCGAAAGGCCACTACTGGGACCTTCCGGAAGGCCGTAGACTTGGCCTTTCGTGACTGTAGCAGCTACGATTCTGACCCTTCTGGACTGTAGCAGCTACGACCTTGACCTTTCAAGAAAACTACAGCTACGATGTCTAGACCTGACTAAGACTCCTATCTGACAGGTCTACAGATCGAACCCATGCTACCTATGGACCCTACGACAACCTATCAACTATTACACATACACAGGTCGCGGGTTCAATTCTACGGGTCAACACAGGTACTGTACACAGGTAAGGTTGGGGTCTAGGGATCGAACCCTGGGATCTGCAGCAGCTACTGCTAACTGGTGAATACCGTTTCACTCCCGCCGTCCTAAATTCGAGGTCCTCCGAGAATAATTCAGTCCAAGGCAGGACCTTTACCTCTGTTCACTCTCGTAGGCTCTAACTATATCGGGAGCTGTCTCTAGAAGTTCTGATCTCGTAAACCAGCGGTCATCCTCCGGTTCCTGATATGCAAAGCGGACCTTGTACTGTTTCTGTGGACGACATCTACCTCCTGTTCTGAACACATCCTCGTCTACAATGCCCTCTATGTCATAGCTCCCATCCATATCCGGAGGGATCATGGATCTTCTAGAAGGGAACTGTTGGCTTGTAACACATGGCAACAACTTTGAAGCATGGAACACAGGATATGTGTGGAGGTGTGTTGGGATCTCTATAGGACTTGTGCAGCTCATTGGGAGTGCGGCAGGTGGATAGATGTACGCTGTTGTTGTAGGCACTAGCTACCTTAGGCAACATCTCATCCCAGTTGATCTGGTCTGGTCTAATGTACATGCGCAGAAYTTGCTGTAGGATCTTGTTYATCTGTTCTGTCTGGCCGTTGGTCTCTGGATGACGGCCAGATGACATTAACAACTTGGATCCGTACACTCTCATGAGTTCTTGCCAGTTCTGGCTGGTAAAGCGACTGTCTCTATCGCTGACTACTGACAATGGGATTCCATTCTCACTAACCCAAAAGTCAAAGAACTTCTGTATCACTAAGTTTGTACGTGCCTCTGAGGGCAAAGGAACAAAAACTGCGTACTTACTAAACCGGTCAACTATGACCATGACTTGACTTTTGCGACGTCTACTCTTGACTTGGGTGTCCATAAAGTCTATGGACACTGAGTCTCCCGGCTGATCCGGAACAGGCAAGGGTCTGAGAAGACCAAGGGGTGCGCGTGTGGTAGTCTTATTACGCTGGCATACTTTGCAACTGCGGACATACTCTATGTAGTCATTCTTCATCCCTGGCCAGGTATACGCACGCATCAGGTTGGCTAGAGTCTTTTGCCAACCGAAATGTCCCTCAGTATCGTGGCATTCCCTTAAGATCAAACTGTGGATCTCTTTGTTGTTGGGGACGCACAGGCGGTCAAACACATTAGTCTTCTCAAACAACAACCCATCTGTAGTGCGGTAATCTGGTTCAGTCTCTGGGGCCTCCCTAACTCTCCTTAGGAGGTCGCTATAGATAGGGTCCTGTGCATACGCTTGCTTCACTTTCTCCTGCAGGTCTCTCCCTATATCCAGATAGTGTACCACGGCTCCAACTCTGATCTTCTACTCAGAGCATCCGCAACTACGTTGTACTTGCCCTTCACTGGCTTGAGCTCAAAGTCGAATTGGTCTATCTCTGCGGCCCACCTAGTCAACTTAGGTGTCATCTTGACCTGAGTCTGTAACCATCCAAGCGTTTCATGGTCCGAATACACTTTGAAGTGCCTCCCAAGCAGGTAGTGCTTCCAATGGTCTAAAGCCTGCCTGAGAGCGTAGAGTTCTCTCTCGTACATGGAGGTAGCGACCTTCTCACAGGGYATCCTCGCTGACATGAACTCTACGGGTCTATAGCCATTGCCGTCGTCTTGCTGTAACACGGCGCCTATCCCATACTGACTCGCGTCCGTGGTGACGACAAATGGCAAGGACGGATCTGCTAATTTGAGGACAGGGTACTCTATTAACGCGCGCTTTAGCTTCTTGAGCGCAGACATACAGTCTTTGTCCCATTGCCAGATTGCCTCTTTCTTTAGCAACCTGCGCAAGGGAGCGGCGATAGTAGAAAAGTTCCTCACGAACTTCCTGTAGTAGTTAGCTAGGCCTAGGAACGACTACAACTCTGTCAATGTGCGGGGCGTCGGCCAATCTCTAATCGCCGCTATCTTACTGTCCTCTGGCCTAATGCCATCTCCGTCTAATACGTGGCCCAAGTACAAGACTTGTGTCTTGGCCCACTCGCACTTCTTCGCGTTGATCTTGAAGTTAGCCTCTCGTAGCTTCTCCAAGACCTCCCTCAGATGACCCTGATGCTCCTGGAGGGTCTTACTAAAAACTAAAATATCATCTAAATAAACCACTACAAACTTGTCTAACCAAAGTCTGAATAGATCATTCATACAACGCTGAAATGTAGCTGGCGCGTTGGTTAGTCCAAAGCGCATCACTATAAACTCATAATGCCCATATCTAGTCCGAAAGGCACTATTATAGTGATCATCAGGATGGACTTCTATCTGATGATAACCGGACTTCAAATCAATCTTAGTGAAATACTTACAACCCTGCACCCGATCTACAAGATCGTCTATCCTGGGCAGTGGCTCAACATTCTTCACAGTAATCGCGTTCAAACCCCTATAGTCTATACACATTCTCAACTCTCCTTCCTTCTTGGGGACGAACAAAACAGGTGTTCCAAAAGGAGACGAACTGGGCCGGATCCAACCTTTCTCGAGGAGCTCGTCTAACTGCTTACGCAGCTCCTCTAACTCCCTAGGGGACATCCTGTAAATTGCTCCCTTTGGAGTTCTACTGCCAGGTTCTATCTCTATCCTGTGCTGGATGGGTCGCGACACTACTCCTGTCGGCAACTCAGTCAAGTCTTTGAACTCTTCCAACAACTTGGCTATGGTTGGATCCGTGGAACTTATCTCTTCCTTGCCCTCAGTGACAGGTCTAACATACACTACAAAGACCTGGTCCTCTAATTGCTCCTTTTTCAGTAACCGCGCGAACGCGGGAGCACTGAGACAGCAATGTGCCAGCGTGTTGTCTACACCTGACACATGAAACAGGCGGGCAGTCTTAACCTCACCTGACGGACTGGGGAGCCTACACTCATGCTCCCTTAAATGGAGTGTGCCCCCGGCTGCCTCTCCCCAATCCATTCCCAATACCACGTCAAAGGGAAGGTCATCCAGTACGAGGAGAGTCAGGGAATGGAGAACTTTCTCCACCTTCCCATCCTTCTCTAGGCGAAAGTACGCCTCGACTCCCTCTACATAGTCCTCAACACGCATAGTGCAGTTGTCTGCGAGGACACTGACTATGGGGTCTGGCAATTTCTGGACTTTCAATCCTAGCTTCAACTTCTTCAGCGCCCTACGGCTGATATAACTGCGGGTGGCCCCTGAGTCTACAAGGGCCCCTACTCTGCTTCTAAAAACTTCTACATCTACCAGGCTGGCATCCTTTCCTTTAACTCTTCTGCCACACCTGTGAGGGACGTGCCTAAAGAGACGCTAACACAGGCGGTCTCTGGACAGCTAGCTAGGCACGGGCCTGCAACCTCTGCCATAAGCTCATGTGGGTTGGGAGTATCCTGTTCGCGCGCGCTCACTTCTCCACATGGCCTTGAAGTAGAGGCAGTTGCAACCCCTACTGGCGGCTGCCTTTTGATTGCTGGGCAGCCCAACGGGCCTGTCTATACTTAGGACAATATTTAATAACGTGGGCCGGGTCACCACAGAAGACGCACTGACCCATGTCCACGCGTTCCTGACATAATCGCTGGTCCAAGCCCAAATCTTCCCAAGGCCTGCCCTGTGGCAAGCCTGGGTGCCATCCTCCTTGAGGTGCCCTTCCACCTCTACGCTGTGGGGACTGATTACCCTGGCGATTTGGCGGGGGACCTTGACCCCTACCTCCCACTTGGCGGTTTCCTTGGCCGCCAACCCCCTATGCGCCCGGTCCTTGACCTCCCATGGCCTGGCCCCTTTGGCCCTGACCTCCTCCTCTACCTTGCGTCCTCCCTCCAGCCGCAACAACAGCATAAGACCTCTCCTGCCCTACACTACTGTCCTCCTCCCCTAGGCCCCACTCAATCTGATCATACGGGACCTCGTCTGTACCACCTTCCTCTAACGTCAGGATCAAGTGATCCTTGGCCTTGACTTGGCCTGAGATGGTACGATCCTTCCACTTCTTCCCCTTCTCTAGGTCCTTATGCCAGAAAGTGGTGACTGGCATAGGCTTTGACCCATACAGGACCGTCTCCCTACTCAATACATCATATGTGATCCCGGTCTGTTGGGACTTGTCAAAGAAGTGCCCCCTCAGGGGCTCTGGCATGGCACGATAAAACAATTGAACCAGTTGGGGTTCAGTAACCCCGTGGTTCGGGACGGCTACCAAGCCGTCCATGGTACCCTTGAGTGCCCTTGCACTCCTCCACTGCCGTGAGTGGATCGTTTGCAGTTTGTCAGAGGCGCGAACGCCTCTTGTTGGGTCAGCAAATCGCTCCTTCAGGAGCTTAAGGAATTGAGGAAGGGGGGTGACTTTTGAGTATGCAACCAGGTTGTTTTCACAACCGGCTGCGCGTGCAAGAAACCTGGCGAAACTAGTTGCTTCATCCTTCGGGGCCTGAAAGGCTACCAGGACTTGCTCCTTTGTCAGGATGTGCTGTAGGTAAATATAGCTGTTGACACTCCCAATTGTCAAAGTTCTCCTAGTTTAATACGTCAGCTTTCAAAACAAAAACTGAATTGGAATTAATCGTTGAGTAAAAGGATTCGAACCTCCTTCTTCCCTCCATAGGCATCTGGGAATTTGAGCTTAACTGGGTCCTCGCAAGGTCTGGCCTCGCCCTCTACTGCGGCTACGGCTTTGGCACCCTCAATGGCGACCTCGCAATACTTCCCTACATTATCCCTCAGTTGCCTAACTTCACCCCCAATGTGGGTGACGATCTCGCGCGCAAACTCTCTAAACCCTCACCGCATGGCCTTCAGGGTGATGTCTTGGCCCCGATTGGCTTGTCGTTCCTCTAACCAGGCCTCACTCAACACCTCTAAGTATCCCAACATCTTGTCCATTTTGGCAGAAACATTTGTTTGTGCCTGGACTTCCTGTCTACACGTCCGCACCTTTTCCACTTCTGCGGTCAACCGATTAGCTTCCTCCCTTCTTCTCTTCTTCTCCCTTTTCATCCTCAACTTCCATTCCAGTCTCTTCTCCTCCTTGGCTTCTTGACGTTCAAGGGGGTCCTCAATCACTGCGAGGGCCCTGGCAAACGCCTCCTTCTCTTCCCGTGGCACATACATCTGCGCCTCCTCATCTTCACCCAACGATAAGTTAGCAACCCACTCACTTATTTTTTTGTCCATCTCTGCATCTTTATCCTCCTTCGTGCCACTACTCCCTTCTCTACTCTCAATTCTCATCCTCTCTTTCTCTTCTTCTGCTGCCACTTCTTCTTCAGCAGCCTTCTTCCTTTTCTCCATCTCCTCCTCCAATTCCTTCATCTTCGCCGCCTGTTCCTCTGCGATAGCCTTCAACTTAGCTTGCTTCTCGCGCTCCTTCCTCTCTCTATTCTCTTTAACTAAGGTGGCCATCTTCTCTTGCTGCTCAGGGGTGTAGGGACTAGTGCTCTTCCCACTACGTAGGTCCACCATGGTGATAGGTGCACAATCATAATGATTCCACTCCTCACCACGTAGACTTTGACCCCTAACTGACAAACCTACTGACTCAATCTAAGACTCACAGAATCCTGACAGGGATCCTGTCAACTATGGTCTCTAGCCTAGACCTATGCTATGGATGTCACTACTGAACCAGTGGCTGATCTGGAGGCATTTAAGGAGATCCCTCGTAACTCCGCCAGAATTCTTTAGCGTCGCAGACAAGACGACGTGATCAGCTTGGTTCTGCCTGTGCTTTCAGCCCACAACTCAGCCTTTCCGGCCTACTGTGCCACACCGAGCAGCCCGCCGGTCTGTACCGGTCCTTGGGAGGGTTCGTATCCCCTGGGACAGTCGAGTCGTCAGACACAGATCCTCAGCCTTACTTGGTCCGGTAGGGAAGTGGTTCAAACAGGCCCTCAACACTTAAAGACTGCCTGTGTTTCAGCCCGCAACTTAGTCTTTCAGGCCCACTGTGCCCTACCAACCGTTTCCAGCCGGTCAACACCGGTCCTTGGGAGGGTTATGCCCCCCTGGAAAGTTGGATCAGCCACAGTCCCAGCCCTACTAGCACCGGTAGGGGAGTGGTCAGCAGGCTCTATCCTTCATCCACAGAGTACTATCACCTAGGACAGAAGAGACTCAATGCACAAAGAATAGACAGACTGACTTGACTCAGCAAGTACCGAGGGGTGTGTGCACATCCACAGGGCAAGGGATAGGCTGAGGGCTTGGCGAGATATTACCAACTCCAGCTTGGTCAAAGTCTTGGTCAACGGCCTTGTTCAACGCTGCTATGACCCCCGGTCAACCCCGGTCAACTCTGGTAACGGTCGGTCAACACCTCCGGTCAACCCTCTTGGTCAACCCTCCAGTCAGCTATGGCTGCCGACTCTTCTTCCTCGCCAACCCTCTTCTTCTTCTTCACCTTCCTCGCCTCCTTTCACCCCGCTGTCTTCTTCTTCTCTTTCTATTTGACGATATATATATTATCTTTTTTTTTTGATCGGCCTCCTCTTCACCTCTTGGCTATGGCCGCTTCTCTCCCTTCTCGGTCTCTCCCCCTCTGTCCTTCTCTCCCCCTACTCATCACTCCGTGGTGCAAGCTTCGCGGCTATGGCCGCTGTCTTCTCCATCGTGGACTGCGCAACTCGCTTCACAGGTAAGTGACAACCAAACTTGTATCGCTCATCTCTCTCTCTCTCTCTCTCTCTTTCTCGCCGTAGCAATATCTTCAGCGCAGCAGGTACGTAGTAACCCAATCTTGTACCACTCAACCCCTCTCTCTCTCTCTCTCTCTCTCTCTCTCTCTCTCTCTCTCTCTCTCTGTCTTCTTCTTCGTCGTGGTCTTCTTGCAGGTGCGCGGCGGCTTCCTCAACCTCAGGTCCGCTATGGCGGACTGTCACCTTCGGCGGCCACCTCGGCTATGGCGCATGAGGTCTAGCATACAACGACGCGCATGGAATAGCGGGTACCAGCTCTGATACCAATGCAATCAGACTCGTCTTATTCACACTTTTCATGTATGTAAACAGCAGCACAGCACACTGGCGACATGCGCCCACTCAGAACTCGGAGATATGGC